CCCCCCCCCCCGCCGTGCCGCCCATCCCGTCTGTCCCGCATTCGACGAGATAGGCCTCAAGTACGGTCCGTTCGACCTTGCATTTGTGCCGATCTGGCGAGGCGGGAGTCTTGGTTTCGTTAGCGCGATTGGCTTGCGGGTGCGTCGGGACTTTCGCTCTCCTGCGGTTCCTTCCGTTCATCGCAAGGAGGGTTCGCTGACCGAGGTCTTGTATGCACAGCTACACCACGAGAACATCTCGAGTGCGGTGCATGGCTCGCCTGCCGACGCCGTCGACATCCACCTCGACGTGCGAAGCCGGAATACGATTGGTACGCTTCTTCTCTTCAACCGCCTCGCCAGCCGTCCGCTGACACGCTCATTTCGCAGGCATGCACTTCGGCACTTTCGTTGGCTCAGAGACCGAGTCGCTCGAGGCGATTATCGAGCTACACGAAGCGGTCGAGGAGGCGGGTGTCAAGGCCTTGGACGACCCGAACGAGGACGAGCTAGGCAGGATGGGGGTGATAGATATCGGGGAGACGTGGTGTGTAGAGAGTGAGTCCGATCTCTCACTGTTCGTGCAGGAGGAGCCCAGGCTGACCCGCGGCCCTCGTCGAACAGTCCACAACTTGCTCATCGTGTCCTAGTATTGTCTTCTATCGGTGCGCTACGCGCCTCACGTTCCATCATAGGCTTTCAGCTGACTCGGTTGCTTCGCAGACGGCGTCAACCCGCGCCGTTGTACGACTATCGCAGCCCTTCGCATTTCTAGACGACCCCCCCTCGGCGACGCGCGTTTCTGCCTGTATTAGCTGGTCCATGCATTACACGTACCGTACAGCAGCTTTACAACCAGTTTGCGCCCGTCAGTCCGTCGGCTCACTGGCGAGTTGCGGAGTCGGTCGAGTGCCCAGTCCGACGGCTTCGGTGTGCTTGCTTGGCTTTGCCATGCTGTTTCTTACGCTCTCCTGTTGCGCTTGAGCTTGTCGTCACTGCGCTTGACGGCGAGTGAGTCGACACCTAACTTCCTCTCCCGCTCTTGCACCGCCCACTCATCACTCGTCGCGCTCGTCGGCGTCGCTGAGCATGTCTGCCGAACCTGCGACGATGCCCAAGCAGGGCGAACACCCCGCCCCTGCTCCGGCCAGCTTTCCGCCCACTCGCTCAGCTCCCGAACGGCGCGGATCAGTCGACGTCCTCGCAGCCATGGCGAAACCGCCGCCGTTCCCGCCGCTCAACCTCATGCACGACCGCACTCGGACAGTCTCGCACGCCATGGCACAGTCGAAGCGCGCAGACGAGCAGAGGACGCGCGACAAGGGCAAGGCGAAGGCGGAAGAGCCGCTTGACGAGGTCGGCGTCAGCGAGGGCAGGCGGTGGAAGGCTGGACTGAAGCCTGGACAGGCGGCGAAGAAGCTCTTCCCCAAACCCAACCTCGCACGACGAGCGTACCGTCGCTTCTTCATCAAACGGGATCTCAAATACGTACGTCCAGCGAGGGGTATCCCTGGTCATGCTGCGGTACTGTACAGGCTGACGCTGTGTTCCTGCAGGGGCGAGAATGGCTGCCGGAGGAGCTCGAGGAGGCGGCGCGGCGAGGGAACTTTCCGCACCGTCCAAGCGACCTCTTCCTCAAGGTGCGTGCTGCGGATTCCTTTCCGTGCGTTCTTGCCGCTTGAGCGATGGAGTATGCTGATATTGGGCAGCTACCGCACGCAGATGTACGCGGACGTTCTCACCTGCCTCACCCGCGACCCTCTCGCCGGCAACGTCTCTCCCGCCTTGATCGGCACGCAGGGCACAATCCCGCTCAGCATCGTCTCCACCATTCCCGACATCATGCAGCACTATCAGGATTGCAGTGCGTTGCGCCGCCTTGACTGCAAGTGTTGGCCGGAGCTGATCAGGCGGAAATATCGCAAACAGTCGTCCTGGCGGAGAAGGAGGTCTTTCTCGTTACAAGTGAGTCTGGCGACATCCGACGTGTAGGAAAGAGCATGACTGATGCTCTCTCGATGCGCAGACTACTGGCAGTACGCTTGTCTTCGCCTGTTTTTTCGGGATTCACAGAACCAAACCTGACCATCTCCCCCTACAGACCTTCCGACTCGGTCAACACGGTTGCGAGCGGCTTGAAGGAGCTGAACAAGCGGGTTGGCGAGCGGAAAGGTGAGAAAGTGGTCATCAAAATCATGTGGGATCGCGGTGCGGTTCAGCAGCTCTGGCAGTGCGTCCCGTCTCAACCTCTCGCCCCGCTTCACCTTTTCTGACGACACGATTCCGTAGCAACCACGTTTCGGTCACGCCGCAGACCTGGACGCCGCTCGGCCTGCCACATCCCGACGAAGTCCCGAACCTCTCCCTTCAAGTCGTCAACTTCCACCGCCCTCTCCTCGGAACGTTTCACCAGAAGGCGATGGTCGTGGACCGCAAGATTGCGCTGCTCAACTCGAACAATATTCAGGACCGCCCGAACCTTGAGGTGCGTCTGTCTATGAAACGGCTTGAAGCGAGGGATTGACCAGTCTTCGTCACCTAGATGATGGTGCACCTCGAAGGATCCGTCGTCGACTCGGTCTACGACAACATGCTCATCAGCTGGCATGAAGCGCTCTCTCCCGCCCTCCCCTGCCTGACCGGCCCAACTCCGACCACCCACCCCGACCTCTTCCCCTTCACCTTCACCGACTCGAACCCCTACCTCGCCAACATCGACGTCGCGAAAGCCGCACGAGCCGCACGGAAGCTCCTCAGTCGGCAGGACGATCAGGCGCGGAAGAGCGAACAGACGGAGTCGCTTAACCCACCGGAATGGTGGAGGCGCACCAGTACGAGCGGGCCGAACCCTTGGCCGTTCGGGACTCTCATGCATGGACATGGACACGCGCACGCGCATGGCCACCCGCATGGAATGCCGAGGCAGGATAGTGCGGCGGATGGAGCGGAGGGTGGGAAGTTCGCGGCGCTGGTGATGCAGCTCGTCGAGAAAGCGCGGGAGGAGAAGGCGCGGCTGGCGCTTGGCATGCAGGGCATGATGAACCAGGGTCAGGACGGGCAGGCGGTTGCGACGGGCTCGAACGGTGCGGCGGTTTCGACGGCGGTCGAGGCGCCGCGGGAGAGCTTAGCGGGAGACGCGGCTTCCAACGGGAGCAGCGACGGCTCGCATACTCGGGTCAACGGCGTGTCGGGAAAGGCGGCGGCAGGCGCCGAGGCGGAGAAGCGGGTCTTGAGCATCAAGACTGACCGTGAGTCTTGCTCTTCTCCTCTCCCTCCGAAATGTGCTCACCCTCGTCCGTACGGTACTCGAGCAGCTGCCAATGGCTCTTCCGCGGAACCAAAGCCTCCCGGCTTCAACCACTCCGAAGATCTCTCTCCGACCGCCGCTGCCGCTCCGCAAGAGCCACCAACCAACGTCGGCAAGGACCTCGAGCCCACTTCGCCTGCGTCGCCCAACGGAGACTCGAACAAGGGTACCGCGTCAAGCGCTCGCCTCGCTGCGCTGTCGAAGGCGCTCAATGCCGGCGCGCTGGCCAAGATCGATGCGGCTATTGACGACGAGACGCTCATCCACGACTTCAAGCCTCACCTCTTGCACAAGAAGCACGAGCCTTTCCGTGAGTTCCCTCCATCTCGCTTGCATCGCGCCCTTGGCTGACTTTCGCTCCCGCAGCAATCGCCCTCGTCAACCGCCGTCCTCACGGCTCGCCCGGACACAACGACATCCGGTGCCCGCAAGCCGCCGCCTGGCTCGCCGCACTCAAGTTCGCCGAGCGCGACGTCTTCATCCAGACGCCCACGCTCAACGCCGCCCCAATCGTCCGGGGTGTCATCGAGGCGTGTTCTCGCGGCGGTAAGGACGGCAAGGGTATTCTCGTCACCCTTTTCCTCGGCTTGGGCTTCAACGACAAGGGCGAGAGTATCCCTTTCCAGGGCGGCACGAACGAGGAGGTCGTCTTCCGCCTCTTTGGCCAGCTTCGCAAGCTTGGCAAGGAGAACAATCTGCATGTGTACTGGTACACCGGTGCGCTGCATTCACCGTTCTCGCGTCTAGGCTCGCCAATTGACGCATCTCTTCTCCTCGACAGGCAAGGACCAAATCCGACCTTTGAATGCGTACGTGCTTCGTCTGGCCTTTCGCGCTACTCACCGCTGACGACGCTGTCGTCCCGCAGTGTGCACAAGTCGCGCAACTGTCATGTAGGTACTCTCCGGTATTCGCGCGCTGGCCGCACAGAACGCTGATGCGCGCGCTCGCGTCCGCAGATCAAGTTCATGTCGGTCGACGGCCAGTGCGCCATCGTCGGCAACGGCAACCTCGACTCTCAGTCCTTCTGGCACTCGCAGGAAGCCAACATCCTCATCGACAACCCCCAGATCGTCGCCGACTGGATGGACCAGCTCCGGACGAACCAGTCGACGCACAAGTACGGCCGCGTCGACACGGACGGGATCTGGCGCGACCCGTCGACGGGCGAGGAGCTCGAGAAACCCAAGTCTATCTCGTGCTTCACGGCGATGCGCGCGGTCATCTAGGCGGCGCGGCGCAAGAAGACAACAGCTCTTCGAAGACTCGACAACAGACACTACCCTCACGCTCTCATTCAATCTCGGTTCTGTACTTTCGTTAGCAGTCTCAGTAGTCTCGCAGTATCCTTTGTCATGTCCACAACCAGCATCTTCCCTTCCCGAGCGAGCGAGAAGTCGAGTCAGAGGAGCGGTGCGAAAAGCGTTCTATGGATGAAGCTCCCTCCCGATACGTCCCCCTGCACATCTACGTCCTGTCGACCCCTCCCGTCTTCTCCTGCTTCGCCAACTCCAACTCCTGCAAGACCTGACTCCGGCCCTCGGCCGTCTGAGCTGCTGGTACGCTGGTCGTGGGAGCCGAGGCGGACGAGTCGAGTGTGTTGCGGAGCTTGGAGTCGTAGGCGGTCTTCCAGGCTCGCATGGCGGATTCGGAGCTGGGAGCGAGAAGCAGAGTTAGGGGTTGGCGAGTGAGCGAGACGAGCGGAAATCTTACGGGACGGTTCCTTGCGCCGCGAGCTCTGTGCAACGACGACCGATGAGCATCAGCGCGGTTCACGTGGAGCAGGGTGAAAGCGAAGGAGCGAGACGGTCGAGACGCACCACTTCGCGCCTGCGTCCTCCATCGCTCCGACTGCGCCCGGTGCTCCGCTTCCCACTGCAGCAGGTAGTGATCTGCGCAACGTAGCGTCAGTGGCTGAGCGTAAGGAGCTGAGAGGGAAGGGAGGGACGAACCCGCATAGGTGACCATCTGTACGAGGGGGACGGCGACAACCAGCTGGTCAGCACTTTTTCTTCCAAGGAGGATGCTCCGCCTCGCTACGTACACCAAAGATCGTGCCCCACATGACCAAGAACCTGCGCCCACTCGCAACGTCAGCGAAACGCTCAGGACCGACGAGGAGAAGGGAAGTGAAACGCACGCTTTGCCCGCCAGCGTCTGCTTCTGTACCCATGGAAACCTGCGCCCGTCACCTTGTCCATCAGCACGACCCTCGACCGACAGGAGCAAGGTTAGGGGAGACGAACCGCCATTGTGCGCTGTTGTAAGGAAGTGGCAAGACCGTCAGCGCCCTCCCGCTGCGGGAGAAGAAGCGCAGCACATACAGAGTCATCAGAGAACCCGCCACGAGCGTTCCCTGTTCCCCCAACAACAAGCGTTAGCACACGACCTCGTCTCGGAGACGGCCTTCCTCGACCACCCGATGAAGCTCCTCCGTCTCGCAGCTGCTGGGGCCAGCTGGCAGGTTGAGACGCACCTTAATAGCTCCCTCTCGCGCGCCCATCACTTGCAACCTATCTGCGTGCGGCTCATCGAGGGTCAGACCTCCCTCGCCTCCTCCTTGAACTGATGACAGCCTGTGAGAGTCGGAGGAAGGGAAGGGAGACGGACAAGCGATGTCTTCTTCTTCTGCGCTGTGGCGGTTGCGAGTGGATCCGAGTGGGTTCAGCATGCTTTGAGATGCGTGAGGTGTGAGCAGGAGGAAGAGAGGCGAGGAGGAGGACGAGGGGGAGATGTCAAAAGCCGGGAATCGATTGCTTGGCTGGAAATGCTCGCAAAGGACTGCAAAAAGGCGCGAGATTGACGAGAAACACGATGCCTTTGCAGGGACTCGCAGAACAACCCTCGTCCTCCTCGACCAGAAACGCTCAAAGCCCATCTCCTCGCTCTTTCTACGCCTGCACCTGCCGCAACTCCTCCAATGTCCGACTCTCGCCGACCTGGGGCGCGGGAGAAGTTGAGGTGGCGGGAGAGAGGACAGCGGAAGAGGAGTTCTTGAGGTCGAAGTCGGCTTTCCACTTTTGCATTGTCGTTTCGGAGCTGTTGCGGGAGCCACGAGTGAGTTGATGGAGTGGATCAACGAGAGGACGAAGAAGACAGCCCAAGGAGTCCGTAGCGAAGGAGGGAAAGGACGAAGAACGCACGCAATGATTCCCTTCGCCGACAACTCTGCGCGTCCGCCCCGGTACAAGCATCAGCGCTTCTCACCCCTGCTGTCCAGGGTGAAGCGATGAAGTGAAAGAGCGCGGGAACGCACCCCTTCGAGCCATATCCCTCCACCGCTCCGCCTGAATCCGGTGGTCTTGCTCCCATTTCAAGAGATAGTGATCTGTCCTCTCTGCGTCAGTATGCGCGAGGTGTCGGAGAGATAAGCGGAGTGAGCAGACCGGCGTAGATGATCATCTAGCGGTGAGAGAAAGGGAGAGGGAGGTTGAGAAGGTCCGTGGACGGGGGAAGGGTCAGTCCTTGCGCTCCTGCTCGCGCGAAGAGAGGCAACGCACTCCAAAGATGGTGCCCCAGGAGACGAGGAAGCTGTCGAGAGGCGCGGGAGCGACGCATTAGCTCGTGAAGGGGAAGCGAAGCGGGGAGGGAAGCGAGAACGGACGCTTTGCCTGCAAGGGTTTGGCGGCGGACGAGTGGGAAGCTGTGCAAGTTCAAGGGCTGATCAGTACATCATTGGAGGAGTCGACTTGCATGAGGGCCAGAACATACCGCCAGTTCGCCCTGCAGGCCGACGTACAGACGAAGGTCAGCCTTTGAGCGGCGCTCTGACGAACTCTTCGATGACCGAGAAGAAGAGAAGCCCCACAGTGCGACAGCAGCTCCGGCGACGAGCGTTCCCTGCCGCAGGGAAATGTCAGTCTTGAGCGAGAGCGTACGCCACTTGCGAAAGGGCAACACACTCGGATGGCTCCCTCTCGCGCTCCGATGATCTGCAGGCGGTCTGTACGGCACGACAATGTCGTTTCCTGTCAGCAGACCGACGCCGGAAGTGATCAGACGGGGAGAGTCGAGGGTAGTGGACGCACATGCGATGTCCTCGTCCTCCTGGCCGTATCGCGTGCGATCCGTGTGGCGTGTGAGCATGTTCGTCGTGTGTTAGTCGCTGAGAGCAGTGTGAGCACAATAAGGAAGTCAAACGAGCGCTGGCTGACTTTTCTCTTGCTCTCGCCTCGCTCTTCGCATGTCCGGGGCCGAAGTTCCCGCCGACCCTCGCCGCGCTTCGTTCCCGCCCATCTGCCCTTCCTGACTGACATGATTACAAGTGGACAGAGCTGTCCAGTGCGCTGTTCGTACTCACAAGATTCCGTGCGACGAGGGAAGCGGTCGAGACGAGAATCTTTCGTCGCCCTCTCGCTTCCCTCCGCGCGCCTCCCTTGCAGCTTCTACCGACTTGTGATTGCCTTAAAGCCCTGCTGCTGTGCTCTGTCACTCCCACGGAAGACTGCACTCGCCTCGAAAATTGACCTGCACGCGTCTCTTTGCTCCGATCACAAACTGGCAACCTTCGACTTCGCTCACTCGCTCGTCCAGCGCCACGCTGCGTCTGCTGGGGCGTACACACGCTCATTAGACCCGTCTCAAGCTTGTCCGAGTCGCTCAGCTCGCGGAGACCCGGCCGCACCGTTCCCGCGTCTCGAGTCGTCCGTCGCGTCTCTCAAGCGACGATGCAGCACCGCCAGGCCTTCAAGGTCGTCCCCTCGACGCCCAACTTCACCGTCGACTCGTCCGACTCGCCCTTCTCGACCCTCCCGCCCGACGCGCAGCTCCCACATGCCCCTTCGCCGCCGTCCTCCGTTCACGACCCGACACCTCGCGCGTCTCCCGCTGGCGGACTGTCGAGCTCGTTGAATGGGCGGGAAAGACCGGCGGATGGGTACCGAGACTCGTCGAGCGAGTTCTTTGCCGGCAGCGCGGGGGAAAAGTACCCGCCTCTGCGGCGAGACGGAGGAAGGGGAACGGAAGTCGATGGCTCGTCGACGGTACACCTTCCGCTGCTGAGCTCGTCAGGAGAAGACGACGACTTGGCGGAGAACACGTTCCACCATTTCTCGCGGAGCGGGCGAGGCGGGCGCGGGCCAGGTGCAAGCTGGTCGGGCATGTTCTTGCAGAACGGGCGGGGGCGGATACACCCGCTCTTGCTCGTGCCGGCCTTCTTGTTGGGTATTGCGCTAGCGGGTACGGGCGCGATGGGCCCGCTGATGCGAGGAGCGAGTCGAAGCGCTATGAGCCGCCTTTCGGTGCGTCGTTTCCCTCGCCCGTCTAGCTCCCTTCGCTGACGCTTTTCCCGCAGTCTACCACGTCTCTCTTCTCCGCCTCAGGCAGCCCAAACTACACCCTCCACTCCTCAGGCCACCTCTACGTCTACCCATCCGCCCTGCACCCCGCAAGCGACACCTCCATCTCCTCCTCCGCGTCCGACCCCAGCCAACACACGATGCGCCACCCCATACACGACCTTATCGCGAATGCGACGAAGATGTGGGAGGACAAGTTGCAGAGGCAAAGTAAGACGCTGGAGGAGGCGGTCAGGGAGTACAAGAGGAGGTTTGGGCGGAGACCGCCAAAAGGATTCGATGACTGGTGCGTCGCCTCCCTGCTCGCTCGGCCAAGAAGTTGACGAGTCGCGCACCGCCAGGTTCCGCTTCGCCAAAGAGAACGATGTCATCCTCGTCGACGAATTCGACCAAACCTTCACCGACGTCCTTCCCTTCTGGGCTCTCTCTCCCACTATCCTCCAACAACGCGCCTCGAAGCTCCAAATCGACTCGTCGACATTCACGATGGTCATCCGCAAGGGAGTGGTCGAGATTGCCGGTGCGCACGCGAAGGACGGGAGGGCGAAAGATCAGGCGGCGTTGATGAAGAGGTGGGCGAGGTGGGTCCCGGATGTCAACATCACGATGTCGGCACACGATGGGCCGAGTATCATGATGGACCATGGGACGAGGCAGAGGCATCTCGACTATGCGAAGGCGGGCAAGCGTGCGTTGCGTTCGCTCTTGAGCCTCGTTCGTCCAAGTCGGCTGCTGACAAGTCTCCTCCCACAGTCATACCTGACGCCGAGGCCGACAACGTTGACGAAGATGCAGCGTGCGCGGCTTTCCGCCTTCACGTTGCGAACGTCCCGCTCACCCACTTTCGCTCGCAGCTTCTGGGGCTTCCCGCTCGCATGTCCTCCCGACTCTCGTCTGCGCCGAGCGTACGACGGCCTCGAGATCGACACGCTTCCGCACGGACCGAGCTTCATCGCCGACCACCTGCAGACGATGAACATGTGCGAGAACCCCGAGTGGCAGTACTTGCATGGTGCGTCGAGGCTCTTCGCCCTTAATCGAGACGTCACTGACGAGCTCGACGATGCAGGCTTCACGTCGTGGCCCGGCATGCGCCCGCAAACCCTCCGCCCGCTCTTCTCGTTCGCCAAAATGTCGGTCCACTCGGACCTGCTCCTGACGCCGCTCGAGCAGTACTGGGACATCGAACCCTGGGACCCGAAGTGGGAGGACAAGCCTCACAACAAGGCCGTCTGGCGCGGGACGACCACAGGCGTCTGGTTCGACCGCGGGACGTGGTGGAGGTCTTCTCAGCGCGTGCGGATGTGGTTCATGGGCAAGGACAAGGTCGGCGAGCAGCGCGTACGCTTTTCGGGCGAGGGACTCGAGACGCCGCGGGGGACCGAGAGCCTCGTCGAGAAGAAGGTCAAGACGATCGAGTTGATGGACAAGTACATCGACTTTGCGTTCACGGGCAAGGCGGGTCAGTGCAGCGAAGAGGACGGAAGTTGCGACGCTGTTCGCAAGCTGTTCGACTTCCAGCGCGCGTTCGGGTGGAACGAGGCGAACGAGTACAAGTACATGCTCGACCTCGACGGGAACGCCTGGAGCGGACGCTTCCATCGCCTCCTCTCGACCAACTCGGTCGTTCTCAAGAGCACCATCTTCCCCGAGTGGTGTGTCGGCGTTCTTGCTGATACCGCCAGAGTCGAGCTCACCGTCCCTCTCGCAGGTACGCCGGCTGGATCCAGCCTTGGGTTCAGTGCGTTTCGCGAGTCCTTCTCCGTCCTTTCTACAAAGCTGACTCCTTTCGTCACAGCTACATCCCGCTGAAGATCGACTACACCGACCTCTTCGACATCATGTCCTTCTTCGCCGGCGACCTCGACGGCCGAAACGGCCACGACGCGCTCGCGAAGCAGATTGCGGACAACGGGAAGGAGTATGCGACCAAGTATTGGCGGTATGCGGATATGGAGGCTTGTAAGTTGTCTGACGCTGGCTGTCGACGAAGGGATGGAGACTGACTCGTTTCTCGATGGGCAGACTTCTTCCGTCTCGCGCTGGAATGGGCGAGGGTCAGCTGTGCGTACTAACATCTCTGTTCTCTTTCGACAAGCCGCCTGACGCCTTTCCACACAGCACCGGATCGCGCGGCGATGGACTACACAGGACCGGGCGCATGAGGCGGAGGAGACTTTATCATCAGGCTATCCCGTACATCTCGCATCTGCATTCGACTGCATTTTTGAATCGTTTCCTCGGGAGCTACTGGAACAACAGGAGAGGAACCGAGATCTAGGGGGAGAGAAGAGTCTATGGTTGGGGCGCGTTGGCTGCGAGTGCGCTGGCTCTGCGGGCGGCGATGGACAGTGTGAGCAAGACGACTCGGCCTTGGAGCGGAAAAGCCGAAAGAGGAACGCGCCTTCGCAGCTCGAGGAACTCGCGATAGGCGGGAGCAGGCGGCGCATCTTTCGCACTGTCCTTCGGAAGCAGCGGAGCGTGCATCTCGGCGTCGAACCCGCTATAAAAAGAGGAAGATGTCAGCGCTGCCTTCATCTGGAAGAGACGAAACTGGACGCACCTCAAGTCTCCGCAGGCGACGAAAGGAGCAATAACCCGTATCGAGCCCTTCAGTCGGTTCAGCCGCTTGTCGGCGGTGGGAGTCGCGTAGTCCGAGATGTCGACAAAGTCGAGCAGCGGCTTGGTGAGGTCGGGAGTGTCGGGCTGTTCTCGGTAGCCCTCGCAGACGACGAAAGCCTCTGGCGAAGCGCAATTAGTGAGCGACAGCCTCGTCTCGCACCTCGAGGAGTAAGCACGTACCCATGCTGCTGTTTCGCGAACTCCTCGGTTTCGCACAGGTGACGCGGTCGAAGAAGCACCGGAGCTGGTCGTAGAGAAGTCCGATGTCTCGCCCGCGGAAGATCTTGGCAACAAAGGTGCCACCGGGTCGGAGGACTTGAAGGGTAATGTTGGTAGCCTATGGAGTGCAGAAGGGGGACGGCCGGATGAGACTGGGTACAGGCGACCAAAGAAAGGGAGAAGCTGACGGCGAGGAGAAGCTGGGCTTGGACGAATTCGTCCAGGTCGTGCAGGCCTGTCACGTCAGGCGCTCCGTCGCAGACGACGAGATCCGCTCTTCGACCTTTGAAGTGCGAGATGATCTGCTCCGCCGTACTGGGCTTCGTGATGTCGCCCTCAATCTGCACGACGCCGGGCAAAGGTGCCTGCGAAGACGAACGGGTCAGATTGAGCAAATGCTGGGCTCCAGAACGGAACGAACCATAGGCTGCAGATCAACCGCGACGATTTTGGCGCTTCCATCGGCGGCGGGTACCTCGGCTCTGTCGAGTCAAAGTCAGCCAACAGCGGGTAGTCGGCAGTCAAACAGACTCACTTCAGTTTCTGCGAGAGCACCTGCGACCATGAGCCTGTGGACACGAGGGAAGGGTCAACTCGCGAGGTCCGTCCAGGAGAAGGTGGTGTAGAGACGCACCAGGAGCCGCACAGAGGTCGACGCAGCGCTCGACGCTATCCCACAGCTGGAACTGCTCTGCCAGCTGCAGCAGCTTGTACGCAGAGCGAGCGCGGTAGCCTGTGGACTCGAGAGATCAGCTCGCGACTGATGAAGATGGGGAGAGCGGACGAACCCTCCTCCTTGGCCGCTCGGAAGTACACGTCGCGTTTGACAGCCGTGCTCTTGCCCATGTTGCGTTCTTCGAGCTTCCTGAGGCAGTATGAGCGGTGTGGGAGCGAAAGAGAAACACGGGCGCTTCTTCGACTCCTCGCCTTCGACACAGACTCGCTGCTGGGCCTGCTGAAACGCTAGACGGGTTTGAACAAGGCTATATAACGACTACGTGCCGGGCGCAGCTCCCCCTGCGCCCTCCTGATGCGGTCCTCGCCAGGTCTCCTAGACTCCTGCCAATCTTCTTGCTCAAGCCGACAAGCTACGACTGGCCTGATCAAAGACTGCGACGCACCTCGAGGAGACGCAACGTAGTCAGTAGCCGAGTGCGGGATCCAGGGTGAGGGACGGTGTGTTGAGGTTGAACACGAGCGGACGCAGGGTGACCGACGGTCGCTGCGCGGCAGCTGCGTTGCACCAAAGCGTGAAGCAGGGACAGCGCTCGACGAGCTGGACGTGCTCAACGGCTGGAGGAGCGAGAATTGCTGAGCGAGGGGACGGTCGGCGCAACGAGCTGATTGCTGCGACCGCCGAATTGCGGAGTGTAGCATCAGCATGCTGGCAGAAGGGGTGCTGCGGCGTGTATGATGAGGAGGGCTGCTGTCGGTTGCTGTCGGTTGCTGGCGGAGACAGCAGCGTTGCCTGGTTGCAGACGTCCACCTCAAACGCCGCACGTTTTGCGCGATCCGTTGTACAGGACGCCACCGAAGCCTCGTGGTGGCGGGACAATGAGGCATGACTAGCAGCTGACGGCCAGACGCCTCGACGCCGGACAAGGGGACTAGACGTCAGGAGGATGGCAGAGCGTCTGAACTCGCCTGAGACCCCTTCGACGCTTATGCGCCGCGCCACTCGCGTCCTCGTGGATCTGCGTATCGTATCATTCGTCAAGAGCGCTGCAGCAGACTATCTCGCCTGTGGTTGGCCGGTCGGTGTTGACGAGCAATGACAGCGGCAGGCTTCGGACGGAAGCTGCACACTCGGCAGGACTGAGTTTCCTCGCTGCTTCCGCGGACGCTCAATCGCGATGCACGTTTCTCTGATGAGCTGCACGAGTGGTGAACCTTCAGCTGGCTGGACCATGCGCTCGTTCGCGGCGGAAGGGCGGGCGGCGAGATGCCCGGCGGGGGATCCGGGTCTCTCTCGCTCTCTCCGTCGGCCGGCATGCGCCTCGTGCGACTCGAATACCGCGCTAGCAACCGGCAGATCGGCCGTGTGGTTGCACGTTTGCGCAACTTTGCGAGGAGGGAACTAGGCGGCGGTCGTCGATCAAATATTTCATCGGCCAATCGGGTGAACCAGCGTCTGGATTTGCAAAGCGCGGTCGCTGCTCACGTTGCGCTCGCTCGAGGCGAACGTGCGACTTCAACGACGGTGCATCTCGCGTCCTCCTCGTCGCAGAGGGGCGCAAAGCGGTTCGTGGTCGGCTGCAGTGGCTTCCACACGACGCACACCGAGCTGTAGATCACCGAAGAACTGGGAGAACGCGCGAGCGGACAGGACGAGTTCGCCCAGTCGACTGGGCGGCCTTCGCAAAGGTGAACGTGCGGACTCGCTGCCAAGTCTCCCGCATTCGCCCAAAAACGGCTGCGGCGGGCCTCGATCAACTCGCTGTGGCACATTCAGCGTCCGCACGGCGTCAAAAAAGTCGACCCTCGCCGCCAGCCCTCTCTCCCTCTCCTTCTCCTCCAGCACTCGCTCGCTCGTTTCCCTTCCTCACATTCTCACCGTCGACCTTTCGCCATGTCGATCGAAGGCAAGGAGGCCGCTATCTCGGAGCCGTCGCTCAACCAGCAGGGTGGAGCTGTCGACCTTAACGCCCGCCGTCGCGCTGCTCTTGCGGAAATCGACAATGCCAAGTTCGGCTGGTTCCACGTCAAGGCCTGCGCCGTCGCTGGTGTCGGTTTCTTCACGGGTGCGTCGTCGTCGACGAGCGAGGACCGTGTGAAGAGTCGGCTGACATGCGGAACTCCCCCCTTCGCAGATGCCTACGATATCTTCGCCATCAACCTCTGCGCTGCCATGATCGGCTACGTCTACAACATGGGTGCCCACAAGGGCGCGTTGACGGCGAACCAAGACTTGGGACTCAAGATTGCGACTCCCGTTGGTACCCTCGTCGGGTGAGTCGCGTTTGCTTTCTTCGTCCGTCTCCTACGAGGATCGGGCGCACAGCAGTCATCGCAGCGATGTCGACGAAAGTGTAGAGAGGCTGAATAGGAGCGGGCCGACGCTTGGAGAGAACTGGCCGCTGACCTCCTCTTCCCACCTCGCAGACAACTCTTCTTCGGCTGGCTCGCCGACATCGTCGGCAGGAAGAAAATGTATGGGTTCGAGCTTATTATCATCATTATCGCCACTCTCGGCCAGGCCGTCGCTGGCCACGGGCCGGCAGTCTCGATTATCGGCGTTCTCGTCATGTGGCGGTTCATCATGGGCGTCGGCATCGGCGGCGACTACCCCCTCTCGTCGGTCATCACCTCCGAGTTCGCCGCGACCCGCATCCGCGGTCGCATGATGGTCGCGACGTGAGTTTCCGCACTTCTTCTCTTCTCCTGCTCTCGACGCCTCGTACGAGGTCCTCCTCACTCGTCTCTCTCTCTCTCTTCTCTTGCACCGCTGGCCCTTGGCTCAGGCGCTGACGTTCGCTCCTCCTGCAGCTTCTGGTCGCAGGGATGGGGTCAGCTCGCCGCGGCCATCGTCACCATCGTCTGCCTCGCCGCCTTCAAGAAGCAGATCCTCAACGACCCCGTCGGCTACGCCCACCACCTCGACTTTGTCTGGCGTCTCGTCATCGGTCTCGGTGCGGTCCCCGGCGCCGTCGCCCTCTACTTCCGTCTCACCCTCCCGGAGACTCCCCGCTTCACGATGGACGTCGAGCGCAACATCAAGCAGGCCGCTAGCGACGTCGACGCCTTCCTCCAGACCGGCGGCTACGTCCAGGACTCGACCCCCGCCGTCACGCAGATTGCCGCGCCCAAGGCCACCTTCCGCGACTTCCGCCAGCACTTCGGCCAGTGGAAGAACGGCAAGGTCCTCTTCGGCACCGCGTGGTCGTGGTTCGCGCTCGACGTTGGGTTCTACGGACTCGGATTGAACTCGTCGATCATCTTGACCGCCATCGGATACTCGTCGCCCTCGAGCGGCACGCCCCAGCACATTCGCTACTACTCGCTCTACAGTGCGTCGCAGCCGCTCGCTTCTACTGTGAGAGCATTGGTTGACTG